ATTAAGATGCAAGCTACGAGAAAAAAAACAATTGTTAATGGTTTGTTAATATTGAGAAATAAACCTTAAAATATATGTATAACATTAAAATATAAGTGACGATATATTCTTTTATATGTTATGTCTTACAGATTTTGGAACAGGCGATGCAGTGGCGCAGTAGGCAGTGCTGTCGCCTTACAGCAACAAGGTCGCAGATTCGAGCCTTGGCTGGGTCAGTTAGCGTTTCTGTGTGGAGTTTGCATGCTCTCCCTGCGTTTGTTGGTGGGTTTACTCTGGGTGCTCCGGTTTCCCCCTCAGTCCAAAGACATGCGGTACAGGTCTAAATTGTCTGTAGTGTATGAGTGTGTGTGTGGATGTTTCCCAGAGATGGGTTGCGGCTGGAAAGGCATCCGCTGCATAAAAACTTGTGGATAAGTTGCCAGTTCATTACGCTGTGGCGACCCTGGATTAATAAAGTGACTAAGCCAAAAAGAAAATGAATGAATGAAAATCATCTCAAAATCAGAGTGATTTAATGGTCTTTTTCACAAATTCATAATTTATAAACCATCCATGCTTCAATAAATACTGGTGGAACCACATTTAGCACCTCTAACAGCCTTTACAAAGAATACAAATTATCCCTGAGAAGTCTTGCTTTGTTTTTAGTGTCTTAAATTCGCAAATTGTGAGTCAAGATTACAAACAACTTAATATCTCGACATCCATGAACATAAAAATTAACCCTGTGCCAACCAACCCTGGTCTCCTCCACTTACTCGTGAAGCACATCCTGTCCCAAAATAACTGTTAAGCATTCAAGCCTAAACATTAGCTCATTACTCTAAGAACAATGCCTCAACACAAATCACACATACACAGCTGACGGTTTTGTTTATCTGTGCAGCATTGTGAAGAATGTCAGTGAGATGCAGCTGTTCTTTCTTTCTCCAACTTGTACTCTTTCGTTCCCCTTTTCACTCTGCTTTGCCTTCACATTAAGCATCATGAACAAATCTTCAGTCAAAGAACAGGAGCCAAACATAATGTTTTACTTTAAAACTGGTTTATTTTCTCATGCAAGTGGAGGTATATTCTTAAAGATAATGACAGTTTCAAGAAATAAAAACAGCTTTAATACAAAATAAAGCCAATTTTTGGTGCGTTACTGATGTCCTAATCAGAGAACGGTCGAGGAACCAGCCTTTGGCTGTAAAAGAAACGGATGATGTTTATTATACAAAAGGTAGACATTCAATATATAAAATGTAAATGTGGACCCAAATGAAACCTGAATGTTCTGAGTGTTTGTGTACATTAACCACAGCCTGGATGTTCAATGTAAGTTTATCTCTGGCATCAGTTTATATTAGGGCACTTTACAGGAGTGGATTAACATTCATGATAAAATACAAAATGATACAAATATTAGTGGCACTTCAGATTCAATAACGGTTGGGAATTGTGAGGCACACACCAAGCCAAAAGGAAAGATCTTCATTTCTACCCCAAGAGTGATATAAAACAGCTCTATATCCCTTCATTTGCATCTCTAAGAGGAGGCAGGTGAGCTACGGCAGCGTTCTGCAAACTTTCAGCAGCCCTTTCCAGAAAATAGATGTCAACTGGCACCCTAAGTAGCACCCTAGATGAAATAAGCCCAGAGGAAAGAGTTTGTGAGATGTCAGGAACGGCTGAGTAAGGGTCGAGCCCCAAAAGGCACGCTGAGGGTTTCCTGATTTAAAAGTCGATCAACCCTAGAAAGGTCAGAGATCATTAACAGGCAGCAACACAGGCAAACATGGCACGTTGTGGTAAGAGTAGGCCATCAAACCTATAGGCCACAGGGACTCTAAAAGGAAGACTGCGAGCCCTCATTGTTTTACTTACGCGGCCAGGGAAAGACAGCACCTTTATAAGACCTCCAGTCACATTTACACTTTGGTGCAAGAAATATCCTCTGAGTGATTCCTAAAGTTACACTGGGGTTTTAAGGCATTATAAGAAGGCAGATGTTGAAGATGCCTGTAGTCCTTTAGACAAATCCACTGCCTTATCTGCCTGACTATGGTGATATGTAAAGTTACAATACAAATACACAATCACTCACACACACACATACACATTCTCTCTCTCAATCACCTCAATCACAGCCTGTGCACCTATTGCTAACTGTAGTGTAGAGATACGGACAAAAAGTGGTAGCAACAACCATTTGCAGAGACCATCACATGACTAACTTACATTCCACCCTTCATAAAATCTCTCTCACACGCACACCCTCACGTTGTTATAGCAGCACACATTTTTTGGTGTGCTTCTTGGCGTTGGGGTAGAGAACAGCCCGAACTGCTTCGTTGAAGACCTCTCGGACGCCCTCCTGGAGAAGGGCCGAGCACTCCAGATATCGCACCGCCCCGATGCTGCGGGCCAGTGCACTGCCTTGCTGTGGAGTGGTCGGACTCATCCCCTGCTCCTTCAGCTTCTCCAGGGTCTCCTTGTCCCCTCGCAGGTCTCTCTTGGTGCCCACCAGCAGCACAGGTACGCCAGGACAGTGGTGGCAGACCTCCGGGTGCCATTTATGCCTGACGTTGGCGTGAGAGGAAGGACTAGCCACAGAGAAACAGATGATGAAGACGTGTGTCTGCGGGTAGGAGAGGGTTCGCAGGCGGTCGTACTCCTCCTGACCGGCGGTGTCCCACAGGTTGAGGCTGACAGCACGGCCGTCCACACAGGTTTGAGTGCTGTAGTTGTCGAACACTGTAGGAATGTACTCGTCTGGGAAGGCATTGGTGGTGTAGGAGATCAACAGGCAGGTCTTTCCCACTGCACCATCACCAACAACAACACACTTTATGGTCTGCATTATGATGCCTGGCACAGGAGTCCCTGAGAAGGAGACACAAAGAGAGTTTACTTCTTAAGTCTAACCATTTGACTAGACTTGTAGATATGACAGTAAAACACCCGTTTACACTGCTATAAAGCGGGTAAATGTGCAATCTGCCTGTACAAAACAACTGCAGATTAGTTATTGCTTCACACGGGACCTCCTGAACTAGTAGAGGCTCAAAACAAAGTAAGAAATCTGTTTAGCTAGTGTGTTAGCAGCTCACTTGCTACATAGAGCCGAACTTTATGAGCTTCAACAAAGCAAAACAGCATAACTATTATTAAAAGTATAACTTTTAGGTAAAACTCACTGTGTTTGGGTGGTCTGGAGAGCTCGCTGAGTGTTTGATTTGAGCTGCTCAAGTTTCCATCATCGCAGCGGCAAAGGCGCTTTGCTAACCGACTAACGTTAGCGGATGAGCCTCACATTAATCAGTTACTAAACACAGGCAAACAACTCCCTGAGGCCTGTAACTTCGCGCAACAGCTTTACAAAGCCTAAACACACATCGAAAGTCTCGAAAATCTTTCAAAGGCACATAATTTAAGGTCATTAAAACACAATCTTCTGTGTGAATCGCAGTCCTTTTCTCTCACTGGCTCATTCTTCAACGGGTAACGGAGACGACATTGTGGGACACGCCCATGTCGCAAAGGTCTGTGGGAAATGTTGTGCAACCTTAAAGTAAAAACTACAACAATAGCTATTTGTTGTGTCTTTAATTTTAATGCGATGAATTCCACCTATACAATAGTTGCATTAGGCACAGAGTGTACTTTTGGTAGTTCAGTCACAACTAGCTCACATATATTCCTCTGTTGGAGGCTAGAGGCCAAATGTCAAAGTTAGGAATTTTTATTGAATTGAATTTTTATTAGGAATCTGCTTGAAACTTTTTGAGAAACTTGACCCACGTAAAATGCCCCAAAATGTATAATTACAAGTATCTAAATGTATTTATTTAATAACACACACCGAAAAACGTCACAGGTTTAATGAGTATATGTAATGCCTTTACTTGCTCTCTCACCTATAGGCAGTTGTCCTGTTTTAGAATGTGGACTTTAGCCTGTTCCTTCCCTTTTTCGTCTCCTATTATGGCTATCAAAATAGTCATAAATACACAGCCTATTTATAGACCAATAGTTTATTGTCACATAACCCAGGGGCTTTCAAACTTTTAAATGCAACAAACCCCCCGAACTCCCATAAATCACATGGAGTGACACCATCCCCATTTCGTTTTTTGACAGCCACTGTAAAAAAAAAAAAAAAAAAAAAAAAAGTATTTTAAAAGGGTCTAAAATTTTAGGGTGTAAAAAATGTATTTGGTAAATATTAAGTGTGTAATTTGTATTAAGCAACCTCATTCTAATATTAATTTAAACATTTAGTATACTGTTGAAAACCCTTTTCTACTATTACTGTATTTCTTTACCCATTATTTACCTGTTTGTTTATTTTAATTATTTGTATTACAATTTTTATCTACTTCGTCTTCGTTTGTAGTTAGTTGATTGTTTAAATAAAAAAAGTTTAATAAAATTAACAATCAATTTATTTTGTAACAAATATATTTTAATTATCATTATCATATTCTATAATCAAATCTTATCCAATAATCAAAAATTGTGTCTGTTCTTTATTATAAATTTACTCAGGGTCCGTATTAATAAATAAAGCTATGAAGCTATTAATAGCTTTTATTAAAGTTAATAACCATTAACTTTAATAGTGAGAAATAACTTTTTACTGATCTTAAATACGTTTAGGTTTACAAAACACAAAACTTACATATGTTTATTAATAAATTAGATGTAACTTAAATGAATGCTGAAGCATGTATTAAACAAACCAACATTACCGGAAAAGTTGACCCCCCTATCATCAGTGTATAAAGTAAACGAAAACGTACGTATTCACATTTGGGCTAAATGACAAGCATATGACTAAAAATTAGTAAAACATGATCAACGTTTTATTTACTGGTAACGTTAGTTTGTGTGGTTTCAAGGTGCAGCTTCATTCATTTACACTCATCTGTCGAGCTCGTGAACAGTGTAGGTCTGCTATCCGCCTGACGGGGGCGCTACACCACCGCCTCCTTATCGCTCTAACTACAAACAAGACTGATAAAACTTCCCCTAGAATAATGGCGACTTGGGCCAGGTTAGGCGCTACTTTGCGAAGTACAGCCAAAAGTTTCTGGCCTGTCAGAAGTATATTTTACCGTCGTGCTTTTGGAGCGGGTCTGTTGGGCTCTGTTGTAGCAGGAGGATTTATTTACTATAAGAATGAACCGCGATGGAGACTGTGGCCACATATCGTGTACGCGGAGGACGAGAAGGTAATCAACTTCTCGAAGTAACTGTCAGAAACTTTTCACATTACCTTACTTTTCAACTTCGACTGTTGTTGTCTGAGAAGTTGAAAATAGAATCGCTGCCTGTTTGCTCGTGGGGTTAATATGGCATCCGTTTAGGTTTATGTTTTTAAAGTGTTTCAATGTGGGTCCAACGTATAAGGTACTAAAAGTTATTAAAACTGGTTTGTTACGACGTGATAAACTGTAAGCTTTAGGCTGTTAAATCATCGTATGTCGTCTTCATGAAATGTTTGTTTTACACACATAGTTCGGATAGTATCGCTGATTCCATCAGGTTGTGGGTGGAACTCTGCGTCAGTTTAATGTCACAGCAAACTTCAGCTACTCAGTCTTGTTTCAAAATTTAAATGCATTGTTAATGACTCAATACGCGATTAAAGCTGGAAGATATTCAGGATTTATTTTCAAAATAATACAATGTTTTATCCAAAGCCATAGATATATTATTAAAGGTAACGTACATGTTCACATGTATCTTCCTATGAAAACGTTTTTTGGGACAGTTTTATATATATATATATATATATATGATTATATATATATATATATATATATATATATATATATATATATATATATATATATATATATATATATATATACACACACACAAACACACACACACACACACAAATACATAGATACATACATATGCATACATACATATGCATATATACATATGTATATATTTATATTTATTTTTTTAAGTGAAGTCATCTTTCAGTACTGACCTACTGTATTGTTGTTAAATAGAGAAAACATTCACAAGTAACTTTTTAGAAAATATTTTTGTTCCATCAAGGGTATAATCACTCTTCGTCAAGCTAATCCAGCAAAAAAAAAAGTACAAAAAAAACAAAAGTTTAATACTTAAAATATAACTCAAATACAGTATTTAAAACTGATAATTCAATTGAAAATCAGGTGAATAACTGCAAAAAGTCCAAAAAAGAAAAAAAAAGAACCACCTAGGGATGGGCGATTAGTTGAACAATTTAACCCGATTACAATAAATCTGGGGTGTCCAAACAGTCCTTGAAGGTTGGTGTCTTGCTGAGTTTAGCTCCAACTTGCTTCAACACACCTACCTGGAAGTTTTCGTATGCCTAGTAAGAGCTTGATTATCTGGTTCATGTTTGTTTGGTTAGGGTTGGAGCTAAACTCTCCAGGACCGAGTTCAGACACACCTGCAATAAATGAACGATTATATACTGCCCTCATAGTTCACTGATTTTGAAAGGTGCATTACTTGATTCAAATTATTTGAAGGAAACACGCAATACGCTATCTGTGATTATTTATTGAACATCAATGTACATTGAACAACTGAAATTAAAACACACATTACTTGAAACGTCCCTTTTTTATAAAAAATAACTGAAAATAAATAAATCACACATTTGGAAACAAAATCTATTATTTTCTAGCTTTTCATATTAAAAGAAGAAAATAAGCAGCATCTCTTCTCAATAAAATAACTCTTGTAGATAGTGTGAATAATAAACAGTGCATTTCTTGCATCTTCTGTAAACAAATATTTTTATGCAAATAATAATTTTATTGTAATTTTATTTACATATACATTGTGCTATCAAGGTACACATTCCAATCATCATCAGTATAGTGCAAACGTGTGTTGTGTATTGTGTAGTTACATTTTTTTGGGAGGTCAGCGTGTATGCGACCGCACGATGAGCCTTAACAGAGCTGGGTCACATGACTCCACACACACAGTAGGATTGTTAGAACAGGACAGTAGGAAATTAGATTGATTGTAGGTTTTGAATTTTGATTATTTTTCTATTAATCGCCCAGCCCTAGAACCACACCTTTTACCAAGCTGGCTATGGGCCTGCTTGAGTATATATTTGAATATCATCAAAGCATATTTGCCATCATGAAAAAAAAAAATTCAGTTAGTTAGTTAGTTAGTTGACATTGCATTAATTATATATATATATATATATATATATATATATATATATATATATATATATATATATATATACACACACACACACATTTATATCAGCTGCTTTCATATTGGGACATAAAAATGTATTTTATCTTTGGTAGGTCTTAAATTAGAAAATTAAACAACATATTGCATTAACAGAAATAAGTGAGGCATTGGTGAGGTTTGAAGCCTTCAGGTGTGTGTGGGAACAAAACGCCAAGCTGACAGTTAAAGCTTAGCCAAAATTATGTCATGCAACAAGAAACTGATCCTAGCAACATCAGCCAATCTACAACAGAACAGCTGAAATAGGAAAACATTTAAGGTGTTGCAGTATTTCAGCCAAAGTTCAGACCTCATCCTGTCTGAAATGCTGTGGCGGGAGATGTCCAATAAAAAACACTCCTCTAGAATGATCTGAGAGGCTCATAAGATCATAGAAAACGATTTCTTTAAAAAAAAAAAAAAAAAAAAAGCATTATACACAATTTCTGTCAAGACCTGACCCTCCATAACTTGTTACAGTTATGAAAGTTAGTTTGACAAGCAGGAAATGTGCATGTGCCAATGACTTGACCACATTGAATGGTCCATTAGAGGTGCACCCTTTCTTATTGGAATTGTATGTGTGAACATATTACTTGACTTATTTATTCTTAACACACCCTATGCATAGTAGCATATTTGAATGCATCTAAGCACTTCTAATGTCTCCACATTGTAAAACCAGTTCAGCTCTAGATTAAATGAAACTGCGCATTTCATGAATGCAACTTATTGTGTGTACTTATTCTCTCTGTTTTTGCATATCTGTAAAGCAAGAGCAGATCATGGTACCACAGATGTCCATGAGGCGCCGCCGGTTTAACCAGTTTGCCTCCATGATATATGAGGATGAGCCATACATGACACCCAGAGACTTCCTCCATTCAGTCTTGATGGAGAAAGTGGACCGTAAGTAACGTCACACCAAACAAACGTTCAGTAGAGAACAATTATGAATAAATGATTAAGCAATATTGTGCATGCATTCCTGTTCCATTGGAATAATAGCTTTAGAGACTAGCTTTATTACTTTCTACTTTAAGATGAAATTTTCTTTTTTCTGAAACATGCATGCTTCAACATTTCAGTTTAAATGTAAGCTCTTATGCAGTCTCTAAAAAAAAAAAAAAAAAAAAACTCAAGTCCCTAAAATGCTGACACCTGCAGTCTTCTCCTCTCGCTTGAACTCATTTATGTGAACATGTTTCTGGTTTGAGTGTGCATTCAAGTGAAAATGCTCTTTATCTGAAAGCAATCACCTCTGCCTGTTAGGTCTTGAATTCATAAAGTGAGCTCAGGATCTCTCCAAACTTCACTACAGGCCTCAGATGTTTTTTTGCTGTTAATTTTCATTATGCCGTAAAATTTTGTTAAAAAAAATCCTTGATCATCTTCTCTTACAGACAAACTAAAGAAAAAGGTGTTGACCAAAGCAGTAAGTGCATTTTGTTAGTTTGCATCAATGTTGATTCAAACACAAAATATCTAGTTGATGATCCTGAATGTTGTGTGATTGTGTCGGTGCAGTGACAGGCTTTTATCTGATTTGTTTGTTGACAGGACTTGGACGAAATGATAAAGGTTGCTTCCAAAGCCGAGGCAGGAAATAACCTGTTCAGAGGAATCGGTGACAAGGGTATTTGTTAAACAAATTAATTTAATTAAAAAAAAAAACATAATTATGGTTTAAAAAAGCATTTATTTTTACATGAGCGTTTTGATGAGTTATGTTAACACTGAATATTAATCTTGTCATTTCAGGGTTGATCTCTTACACTGAGTACCTGTTTCTCCTCACTATTATTACAAGTAAGTTTTCCATTGAATGTCATTATATAGTTTCTTATCTGTCTCTAGTCTCATCACAAAAATTAAATATACTGTTACATGAAATTTCACAAATTTTAAACTAATCAAAGAAAAGTAGGGATGTATTCTGTTGATCGAATCATAATATGGAATTGTGCCTATGAAACAAAAACATTTAAACAAAAATCTGCATGTAGTGTGAATGTGTGGCATGGTTTCAATGGTTTCAATTCACATACTTAAACACGCATGATGTTTAAAGTAATTTTTTATTTAGCTAAAAAACAGTTAACTATAAAACTATATAACTTTAAAACTAAAACATTGGGGGGAAAAATGCAGCAATGGTCTTAAATTATTGATATTAGATTTTAGAGAATAAAAAAATAATATATATATATATATATATATATATATATATATATATATATTGCTATTCCTTTTCTTAATGTTCCGTTTCAGTTGAAAGTACATCAACATACCAAAATAAAAGTCTCAACAATTTCTGCATCACATTGAATTTAAACTTCTGCTATCACATGTTTTATGTTTAAATAAAACAATAGATTTATTAGATCATAAATAAATAAATACCCCCCCCCCCCCAAACATTTTTTTTTAAAACTTAACAAAAAAAACATTGTCCCACAATTCACAACGGCAATACATAGGGAAAATATAATTCACTTCTTTTATGTTTAAGCACCAGAATTAGTTGTTTTTAACTGCTAGAATACAGTCAGAAGAGTCTCTATAATAGTTTAGGGTAGATCTGTACTGAAAAAAAGATGAGACATTTAATAAAACATTACATTTTAGTTGTATTGTTTTGCAAATATTATAGTGGCCGAGTGAGCTTCATGTTTATTTATGTAGCGCTTTTTACAAATGTAGATTGTGTCAAAGCAGCTTAACATAGAAGTTCTAGTAAAGTTCAGATTTCAGAGTTCAGTTTAGTGCAGTTCAATGTGGTTTAAATTTCACTGCTGAAAGTCCAAACACTGAAGAGCAAATCCATCGATGCGCAGCAGCTCCATAAGGCCCAAACCAAGCAAGCCAGTGGTGACAGTGGCAAGGAACAAAACTTCACCAACTGATGAAGTGAAGGTAAAAAACCTTGAGAGAAACCAGACTCTGTTAGGCACGACCATTATTCATCTGGTCAAACTTTCTGTGTGAAGCTAGGTCTGGGTGCTGCAATTTAAGAAAACACATGCAGTTACAAAAAACGCTGGTAAATTAGGAAAAAGTCTTTATCAGTTTGACAGCACACCTGCTGCAAATCCTCACATCACATTTTTAAAAAACGCAAACAAATTAATAAAACATACTGCATTTTTTCTTAGCACATTTTATGAAAACGTGCTGCATTGTCTCTATTTTCTCACAGTTTTAAACAGCATGCAACACAATGGAAATGTTTCAAGAGGACTCTAAAACGTGACAGCTATTTAGGTTATGGTTATTTAGGCTAATAAGATACAAAAGACGAGAAGGATGTTAAAATAAACAAACAAAAAGAATTACCTTTCAAAGATCACCTACAGCTTCACTGAACAAGAGTCATGGCACAGCAGTGTCCGTCACATTTTTGGGTCCTCTTAAAACATTTCTGCTGTGTTACAATGTTTTTGCAAGTGTTGTGAGAAAATGCAGCCCGTTTCATTAATTTGTTGGCGTTGTGTGAAAATGCAGCAGGTTTTTAAATGTGTATGCATTGCAAGAATTTGTGGCAGGTGTGCTGTCAAATGGATAAAGATCTTTTCTTAATTTGCTGGTCTTTTTTGTAATTGCACACATTTTAAATTGCAGTGCGTTAAGCTCTCTCGGCCACTAAAATATACTGACCAAACCTAACATACTGCATATTGTACATGTGCATGTTTACCCATTAATTGCTGTGAAACCGTACACGAGCACACTGTAGTTACTATTACACTACAACTATATCACAGTTATATTTATGATATTGACTGACACGATAAGCAGGTGCATTATGCTCATCAGTCTTCCCTTCTTAGTAGCAACATGCTTTGTGTGTTTGCTCGCTTGAGGGGTCATAGATTATTCAGTGTTCCAGTTGGTTTAACCAGTTTAACTACGTTGTGATTCCAGAATCTGACACAGGATTTCATATTGCTTTCAAAATGCTTGATATTGATGGCAGTGAGACTGTGGACAAGATGGAATTTCAGAAGGTACGCCATTTGTTCTCCTTCATGCCTCAATGAATACCAAGCGCAAATGTAATTTTAAAATGTTTTAAATGTTAATGTGTATAATTGTATGAAGATAGGGAGATGTAAGAAAGTTCCACAGACTGGACTTGTATGGATTGTGTAAGTTACGATGTCATTAGGGTCTGTCTGCTTTGTTTGTTTCTGTTATTGCTGGCATGAGATGAGGCCTATGCGCTGCAGGTATGTGAGAATGGTCGATGCATGAATCGTGCATGATAGAAGCATCAGAACACAGTACATGAATTGGCAGAATTCAGTTTGATTTAGAGGATTATGTTGAGTCCGTTCTCATGGATGTTCTCAGTGTGTCATGTGTTGGAAGTGCAGATGATTCAACACACGCTTGAAAAGAACTATTTGAATAGACGCATCGTTTTTCTTTAGAGCAGATCTACATCCCCGTTACCCCATAACACATGAATACGTGCACAAATATGAGACCCTGTGTATCTTTTCCAGAAGTCTATTGACTTCACTCTCTTTTTGTTTGAAGCTGAAGAAAGTAAATGGACCAAAGAAAGAGCTACTAAGGCAGGGTGGGACAGAGGTGTGTTTGTTCAGCAAATATATAGCGAATCAAATGTTATGTGAAAATCAGAATGCTGTTTTTCTTTCATATTATCTGTAGAAACACTTCTGATTGTGTCATATCAAGTGCGCTTTCATTCTCTCTTCAGCTTTCAGACAATGCTGATGAGGTTGACACTACACTACAAGTGTTCTTCTTCGGGAAAGATGGCAATAAAAAACTCCAGTACAAAGATTTCTGCAGGTAAAGCAACACTCCTTTAAATACACATGACCTGTGGTTAATTTAACATGTTTAGATGTTTGTGAAATTAGAATAGTTTGCCACCTTTCTTAAGTGTGGTTCATTTTTAAACTAATTTCGAGAGGATTACGTGCTTATGATTGATCATGTCTGGTCCCGCATCAGCTAACATGATGCGCCAATCAGACAAATCCTAACTCACTTTAAATAACCAGAGTTTCTCACCTCATCTTCGTCTTGAAGAATCCCACCCTTCCACCCCTACTCCTCCTCCCTTTTTCAGATTGGGCAGCAAGAATGCCACTGGTTCGGGTCTTTTGTGGGTTTTCCCCGCATTTTTCCCACCGTCCAAAGACACACAACATAAGTAAATTGACTAATCCAAAAGTGGCATCATAGACGAACTCTTAGTCAGTCTCTCATTGTAATTCCTAACTCTTTAACCTTAACAAGCAGGGGAGTGTCTGAGACCAACCTGAGCTCAAACTCCCCTCTCGCCCTTCAAACAGGAGGGAGCCCTGGGCTCGAGAATATTCTGAGCTCAGGGGTTTCTCCCGGGACAGCATGCCATTATCAATCATCAGCTGTGTGAACTCTTGAGACTGTAGTATTGTTAGTGATGAGCAGATATGCTGAGCAACAATCTGCAGCCTTTACTATGGTGTTTCTGTTAACTTGTTTGTTTTGTCTGTGTATGCTACAAAAAGAACGTCCCTAGCAATGTTTCCGTCCAAAGATGCGAATTAAACTTGTGTGCAAAACTGAAATATTGCCTAAAACATTTGCAAGTAAAGCACTGTTCCTATCTATTAAGGAGAATAAAATCATTTGCTGCAGTAGGAGAAGCAACTGTGGGCCTTTTTTTCTTATAAAATAAAATACTTCAATGCTCCTCACTAAGACATGTCTCTTATGGTCACCAAGGCTGCATTTATTTAATAAAAAACAGTAGAGTTCTGAAATATTAACATGTAAGATAACTTGCTGATAAAATATGGTTTAGATAAATCTTATTCCATGAATAAAAAAAAGTTGAATGTAAATAATAATTTCCATCAAAATGTTATGATCTTGTGTAGGTTTATGGAAGACCTGCAGGCAGAGGTGCAAGAGGTTGAGTTCACACAGTTTTCTAAAGGAATGAAGACCATGAGGAGGGAGGATTTTGCTGAATGGCTGCTTCATTTCACTAATGAAGAGGACAACGAGGCATACCAGGACAATATGAGAAAGAGAATCCCCACTGGACAGGTAACATGTCACTTTTTTCCAATGAGGCCATTTTATATTTTTAGACAGGTTAGTGGCTAAGATAAACAGATTTGTGGCATAGAGATGGACAAACTGCACTGTGCATCACTCAATCAGTCAAAGAAATCTGAACTCGGTTTCTACTTGCTGTAGTAGGCGATTTAGAGTCTGAATTAGTCAAGCAGTTATCATTAAAAGAACTTGTTGACCTGGCCTGAATTAGGAGTAGATTATTGTACATTTTGATTAAATTAGTATGTAAATGTAAAAGTAGATGGTACTTGTAATGTACTAAGTGTTATTTGACATTGAATTCATGCATAGTGTAGCACCCTATAGCAGTATTATAATTGAGTTGTTATGCAAGTAAAGTGCCAGTTTTGTTTTTGTCAGAGCATCACCTTTGATGAATTTAAAGAGTTCTGTCTCTTTACCTACCATCTGGAGGACTTCGCCATCTCTGTCAAGATGAGTATTGAGGGCAGCAAGCCTATAGGATTGGGTAAGACTGATCTGGATGCCAATAATTATTTAACTTATTACGATTGGCTAATTGATTGTCTTTAATACAATATGTAGCAGGACATTGTTGATTGAGTCATTGAAATGCATTGCACTCTTGGCCTCTCTGTTGCTCCGTAGCTCAGTTTAAGCGAGCGGTGATGATCGCGACTGGTCACGAACTTTCAGACAACGTTTTAGACACAGTTTTCAAGCTCTTTGACATGGATGGAGACGACTGTCTGAGCCATAAAGAGTTCCTCGCTGTGATGAAAGACCGAGTACATCGTGGCCTGAGGGTGAGGAAACAGTTTAGCCATTTTAATAATAATGAATTATTCAATTCAATGATTTTATTTAGTTAATGGACAATGTTGTGCCATTAACCAATTAATGAAAACTATTACTTTACTATTACTTATGACTGTCAACAATATAGACACATGGACATTCATTTGAACCCAGTCAAATCTTGTGATAATTGTTAATAGGCCTTGTGATTGTGGATTAAGTGGCTCTGCGCAGTAATTATTAGACTAATTGTCGTATGCTCCTGTGTGTTGCACAGGTTCAGCCCCAGTATGGTGTTTCGGGTTATTGGAAATGTGTGAAAAGGGAGACATTGGAAGGAGCTCAAGAGGCTCTCCGTAAAAACGGCAGTCCTATCTGACTCGAGAAGAGTGTCTGGCAAGTGGAATGTGGTATACTTCTGGGGAAAAAAAAAAGTATGATACACGGTTAATTATCTAAAAGAAGCAGGGCTTGAACATTGTACTGTCATTTTCCATTTAAATGTTTACATGGGTGCAAAGATTTTTGCTTAAAAAGTGACAATGGCGTTGGCCCAAAAATAGTGAATGTGTAAAATAAAAATAATCATAATTGAATAATATTGTGGTGATAAACAGTATTGAAAATATGTGGATTTTTCATTGAATTTGTGAAATACTGTAGTCTGTGACCACTCCAGCAAGATTACACTGTCACTTCATCATTTCATAGGAAACATGTTTAATCATATTTATCCTTTATTTTATTTGAAGTGTGGTGGTCTTTTTATATATCCTCTTTGTAAAGCTTTTGTGGAAGATAACACTTACCATGTGAGACATGGAAATGTGCAGTGCTGATGGTCCTCCAGGAACATGGTTGAAAACCACTGGTGTAGAGCACTTTTGTACTAGTTTTGTGACTGAACAAATGTGCAATTCCATTTTAAATGGGCTCATTGTAAAAATAGGTTTTCCCCCTTTTTGAGAAAAGGAAAGTACACTGTGAAATACAGTTTTCTTCTTTATTGAAGGATTCCATGTGGTACTTGTGAGGATGGACTGCGAGCAGGTGACACTGCTAAAATGAGCAATTCCTCCATGTTTAAAGTTTCTGTACTGAGAGGTCACTTTAGATTTTCTTTTGGCCTCATGCGTTCACGTGATGCAAATTCACATGTCAGAGTTCATCAAGCTTTAATTTTGATACACAGCGAAATATCTTCACACAGATCTGCATTTTTTGCTTAATGCATTCACATGCATATGAATGGAATGCAAGAGAACAAACACGAAGTCTAGTGTGACATGACTTTGATATTATGTAATCGGTTATGTTTGGTTGTGGTGTACCATATACATGTTTTTTTTTTAAAGTTTTCAATATAAAAAAACTGTACTATAATTTAGGTGGTGGACATGAAATGCCAGTAATGCATTATTCCTTCATGAATAAAAAAAGCTAAAACGCAAAGGTGTACAAATTGTGTATGTTTTGCATGTTTAAACGTTTACTTTTTATGTTTGTCTTTTAGTAAATGTAGAAAGGAACATATAAAATCTTCAGTGTTGCCTTTAAGAATTATTGTTTTGGAATTTAAGAGCAATCCCCATACAATACAAGTCAAAACTTTGGAAACTCTGGAATCTACTACACTAAGCCACATTTAAAGATCTACTTAAAATGTATAAATACTGTAATTCATTAAGGACAGAAGAAGAAGAAGAAGTTGACCAGAACTGACAGTATCACATTTATGATGAAATATTTCAAATACCCACTGCTACTTTTAAATGTATATTCATCAAAGACTCCTGTTAAGTAAACTCGATTACAGTTTCCACATTATAAGGCAGAAACATTTCAATATTGATAAGAATCTTTATATAAAGCGAATAGTTATTAAACACATCCGATTAAAAGGATTTCTGCGTGAAGGCTTAAGTAATGATGCTTAACAACTCAGGATAAAAAAAGACATTTTAATAATATAGCCACTGATTTGGATCAGTATCTTTTATCTGTTTATTCATGTTCTATAAATTCTAGACACAACCTTATACAGTACAAACTATTATACAGACTTCACTATTTTAAAATAAAGCTTAGTAAATTCTATCCCTCGGTTTCACGTGGGGAAAAAAATAATCACCCGATTAGTTTTAGTGTATTTTTGTTTAAAATTTGCCTTTTAAAAAAAAAAATCAAACCTTGACATGTTTCCCGTTTTGATCGGCTTACTGTATGTAGTATTATAACTCGGTCACTCTTAGTTCAAAAGCAGCTTTATTTCTTGGTCTGAAACTTGGTTGCAGTTGAAAACTCTTTTGAAGGATGCGGCCCGTGACGTCAGGAGGGCTCAGGCGCTCTGGCTCACAATTGGTCCAGGGATGCTGCGCGAGAGCTCCGACACCGAGCAGTCGCCGCCGCGCGCTGGCCAACACTCCCGCATCTTCACAACAAAATCTCCTCTATTTCACTCCAAAACAAACCGATCGACACCGACAACCGCCAAACACTTCCTCCAAACACCGGCGACGCCGCGCGGAAGTCGGCAGAAGGCGAGCTGGAGCACCGGGGCTTTGGCGGTGTTTTGTGAGGCTGAATGTTGATTTGTTTATCTTTTCGTAGTTTGTCCGCGCGAAGCAATGGTCGCGAGGATCTGTTTGGAGAGGGCGCTGCGCGTGTGCGTGAGGGCTCGTTAAAACACACAGACGTCTCAAGTGTCGCTCGCGCGCTAATGAATAGTCTTGACTGAATGGATTTTTATATTTAGAGCTTTAATACGCCTCTTCTCCCTACGGGAAATACTGGACAGCGACGCATAAACGGACGGGCGCCCGCAGCATGGCATTTTTATGACATTTAAAGCTCCGAGAAGCATTCGGGCAGCTCGCAGGGGAGACGCTGACCGGTTTTTATGTGCTTTTTTACGGTTGTCTGTGTGCTAACGCGGTGTTAACTCCAGCCGGTGTCAAAATGATGGCTGGCGGGGAAGTTCAGCAGAACGGGATCTTCTCGACTCCTCAGCACCTCTCACAGTCTCCGCAAATGGACCCGGATCTCTCCGATTCCAGAAAGAGACCCCTGGAAACACCGACCGAGGCGAGCAGCACCAAGCGCTCCAACACCGGAGGTAAGCTCGACAGTTGGCGAGTGTGTTCGGGCAGCGCTCGGGCCTGCTGCTGCTCCAAATAAGTCATGTCAACCGAACCGCGCGAGTCTGCTTGCTCTGTGACACCGCGGGGGTTCAGGGGGGAGTTTTAGAGCAAACTATTTCCCGGTTTGTTCTTTCGGTTTCATTGTAAAGCAATTGTGAGATGAAATGCTTTATCGACGCTAAAGATAATTAATGCTACAATTAAAACGGGTTGCATCTGTCCCGCCTGACCCCATATGACCCGGTGGGGCGGTGTGCTGTGTAGTCATGGTGGAGGTGGTAGTTGTCGCCCCCGTGGGACTGATGCTAAATTGAGCAGAAAATGAATGAAAGCGAGAAAGCGCACATGCTGCTGTCGTTTAATCCCTATTCATATGTAATAAGAGACTGCGGTCGAAACAAAAGATTAAATTCCCCTCTATAGCCTCATGTGGGGCTCCTAATGCATATCCAAAAAGAGCATCAGGGTCCATTTTTACTTTAGGTAAAAGTTTCTTTTAGGTGATCCTGATTAATGTTAATGAGTTGGCCCAAGCTCTATCCTGCAATTACTTTTGGGAGCGTCTCTGATAGGCGTTACGTGCACAGTTTCTTGATAGATTTTGTGGCAGATCGGATTCTTCTTGAGACTATGAGGGCTGAGTCATTGCGCTTTAAATGATAGCCGACAAGGCCACGTGATCAATAAATATACATCATAGAGCTGCTTTTACTTAATATAGCGAAAAGAAAGTCTCACTAATGTTTATAGCCTACGAAGTGTTTTGTGAGTTTAACTCGCGGGACGATGGTTCCCGCTGTGGAGACCGGGTGCAGCAGTGAGTGTTTTGACACCCCACCGCAGTACAGTGTAAGAGCAGAGAGCGCGCGCGGGTTTTGTGGATTAGCAATACACTATTTTTCTGCGTTAAGAAACAATGAAGTGAATCTTGTATGTTTGTGAGGATTTACAAGTTGAATTCATAAATACAGTTAAATACTTTTTAACGATTACTTTACGGCGATTAAATACTGTAAACAAACGTTAGTAAAATTAGCTAATTATTTCTAACCATTTGTGTGGATAATGTATATTTCGTTTTTTACTGTTTAATAACAGTGTGGTTATTGAAATACAATACAATAATACAGTTAAATTTTTTTTTTTATAATTTAGAGTTATCAATGTATGAATCCACTTCTGTACCATCTCTTTAATTCCTCTGCAGACTATGTAGTCAGGCCTTCATTGTATTGACACAAAGTAGTTAAAGGGGAGCTAGCTGAAGGCCTGTTATGTGCTGTAAAACACACACACACACACACACACACACACACACACACACACACACACACACACACACGTAAAACCTGAATTAGTAATGTGAAACCAGTTTCAACCTGCAGTGTAAGTTTATTTTAGAAACAATTATTTTGAATTCTACTACAGTAATGCAGAGCATCAAGCTGGATTTCTGAAAACGTGTTAAAAATGAGGTAAAATGAGCAAAACCATTGACCAAATAATGGGAAAGACTGTTAATATGATTGACAGTTTGACTAGCATATTTGACGGCTTTTGTCAAAACCTCTGGTTAAACACAGTTTGGGGATCAGTCATTTATTTAGTCAGTAAGTTAGTTATCTTTTTGTTCATTGGCAATACAGACCGTTGATCATTCTGTCCACCTATCTGGCTTTGTTAATTAAAACATAATCCTATCAATGGACGTACCCTTCCCCCTTATGTGACCTTTGACCCGAGTATAGCGACGAAGAGGACGGTCGGTGATTGAGATCCTCTTTATGCCCTCCCTTTTGTAAACAGCCATTGATTGCTGATGCTAATTTCTCCAGTGCACACACACAGTTACTTTGTGTGTGGCCTCTTACCAGTCGCAATTGAAATGCCATGTTAATGTTGCTAATGGAGGTTTTGGCAGAGCTATTTATGTTGGTGTGTTATTGTGTGGTTCGGTATTAGATCAAAAGGTGCGAGCGAGAGAGTGAGAGCGAGTGAGAGAAGGACACAGGTGCCCTTGCAGTGTGTGGTGACGTGAGTTGACTGTGAATTGGGCAGGTGGTGGAGAAAGGAGGGGCTAGAGAGAGTGAGAGAGAGAGGGCTCATGTATTCTAGAATGTCCAGTGGATGTGTTGAACGTGATCGGTTTGCCTGAACAGAAGCGTCTACACTTCTGCATGCTGCATTTGAGACACCCAGCAGAGCGCGTCGATATAGCTAGTATGGATATATAGAGAATTTATCAAGCTCAGCTGAAAACGCTACTATGCAAATGAAGTATGACCCTGGGACCGAGCTCATACGCCCTCCCCCTGCCGCGTATGCGTGCACCCGCACGCCTGCGCTGGTTGGGTATAGCGTCTCTGGATTTATAGGCAGTAATTTAGTTGGCCGGCCCCTTGGCGCTCTGCGGCAGATCCTTTCTGCCATTTTCAAAAATCTCCCTCTCTCTCTCTATCTCGCGGTGTTTCCAACATGGCCGTCTAAGGAGCCCACCGCCTCCCCGCTTTCGCGCTATACCTCCTCTCCGCTCACGCAAGGTCACTCCCTCGCACTTTCTTTTACTCTTTCTCTTTCATTTCCTCTTTCTCTCCTTCCGCAGCCTCCCTCCATCCTACCTTTTCATATTTCACCCAAACATGAACGAGGCGCTACGTCTTTTATAGTGCTGCGTCAAAGTGGCAAGGGGGGGGGCGCAGAGAAAGAAAGCCTTGGTGTGTATGTGTGCGCGCGTGTGTGTGTGTGTGTGTGTGTGACGCTGGGGAGGGGTGCGGGGTGATTGGACACGCTAGGTGCCTCTCTGTAGAATGCAGCACAGGGCTGGAGCTCTCGCTGAATATGGATGAGAAGGAAAGCAGAGGGTGATGCAGTAAGAAGATTCCCCCCGTCAGTCCGCCTCTGCCTGAACAATACCAAGCCTCTCCGCTTCAAACACTCACTCACTCACACACACACGCACACACATACACACGCCACACGGCAATTGCATTGCCATCACACACAATCAGAGAAAGAGAGAGAGGGAAATTGAGGGAGAGAGAGCAAGAGAGAGAGACGGGGGCTGACTGCGGGTATGGAGGGGAGGATGCGCTGACGTTGTCCCCCACTCGGATACGAACCTGGGGAAAAAGGTTGACTGGCCACATTCCTTGACGGCAACAGAGCTCCTATGATCAGCCTGCACTCAGGCATCGCTCACCGGTCAAGCCGCTCGGCGTCCATGGCTATCTGAACCCCACCTCCGGCACGCTACAGCAGAATGGGTAAGAGATTCTGTCCCCTTTTGTTGACTTGTTGAATGCATGTGTGGATGAGTTGAGCGTTTCGTTTAGCGTCCTTCATTCTTTCGGCTTTTCTTCTCCTGTCCTCCGTTGATGTCTCTTCATTCATTCTTTGGGATGGAGAGGTTCGCTTGTCCTTGCACTGTGCCTAGGACAGGCCCTCCTTTTCACATGCAGAGTGTGTGCGTGTGTGTGTGTGTTGCTTGGGGGTGGAGGGTTTTAACAATGCAATCCCTCTTGACCCACTCCCTCTGTGTGTTTGCATGACACCCTGTTCACACTCTATGGTCTGTGTGTAATCATAGGTTTGAGCCCGTAACCATCTGACTGCGTTAGCGGCTGTGTAAGTATGGCTCACTGGCAAACAGCAGCAACAGATTGTATTATTTACTCAGACACTCACTGCTGAAAACCTGTTACACCAGCTTTCCTTACATCATCGCCGCAAGCAGGAGCACACGGGTGAGGAGCGCTCCCAAAGCAATTGCCATTCTCAAATCTCTGCTGCTTGAGAATGGGATCTAGGTTTTCTTTTTAACAACAGGTAAGCATCAGCAGAGCGTCCAATTGGCTCTTTGCGCCTCTGAAATGTCACCTCCAAGTCGTCGTGGAAACAATTGTGAGGTGGCTGTGATGAAGAGATGAAGTTTTCAATCTTTGGCGGCCAAGGTCAAATGGTCCCCACGCCACCACTGCCGCTCAGTAAAAAAACTGCTGCCGGAGGTTAGCGGTTCTGCAATGGACTGGTACGGTGTACTTCAGTGATTGCGAGAGCACTGATTGCCCTTTCTCCATCCTTTCCGTTTGTATAAACACGCTCACTATTTCCTTATCTTCCCTCCGGCTGTGCTCTTCAAAAACCTCCATCATGGATTCCTGAGCATGTGTCCACTGCGTCCTGTCCTCTTCCTCTGTTTACTGCAAACTGCCCTCATTAAATGGTCCCTCTAACAGTGTCTGCATTCATTCCATTCACACTTGCACCCTCCCATTTAACAGACCGGTCATTGATAAGATCGGGATCTGCCCAGCTGTGTGTGTGTGTATGTGTGTGTTTGCTCGGCTGCATCGTCCATTGTGGACTGGAATCCTATCATTACCTGTCAGTCGTGTGTGTGTGGCAGGGAGCATTGAGTCGGGTGAGGCAATGATGTAATGCGTATCCCACTGCGCACCTGGAGCGCTGCAGAGGACAGGTACAGATTGAACCGCTCTGCACGGATCCATCCAGATCTCAGTCGTGTCCACTAACACCTCTCAAGGGCCCTTTGAAGGGAGCTAGTGTCCTTGTGTGAGCGTTTGTGTGTGACGTCGTCACAAAAAGTATTTGTCGGATGCTGCGCGCTTTATTGAGAACCCCTGAGGTCAGTCAGTCCCAGCGCAGAGAATAATAAATCTCTCACCCTCTGACATTTGCACATATTCATTTAACAAATGATTTTCTATAGAGTGACTGAGCACAGAGCAAAGCCAGTCAGTCAGGGTGAAACAGAGAGAAAAGAGAGGAATGAACAAAAGAATAGCAATGCTGCAGATAACAGCTTTTAGATCTATATAACAGAGGCAGGAATGCAGTTGTATTTCCTGCATTTCTATAGGATTGTGTGCAAATGTGAGTGATTGGGTCGCTTCGTGTTTTTCTGGAATTGTCTTTTCAATTTAAATTCTGCTCGGGTATCTTTCTAACTGTGCACTGCACGTTCAGCTGCGCTTAAGCGACTTATACTGTGTGTGAGCTTGCTTCTTTCTTTCTTTTTCTTTCTTGTTTTTCATCTTCCTTTTAGACTAGATAATGTATTACAACTGAAGCTAATGTTTGCTTTGATCCTGGTGCCATCTACTAACTGGCCCTCCCACTCTTGGCTTGATTATTTATGCCTGGGCTGATAATTACATTTCTCTGGATCATCCAGATTCCCAGATTTTCTGCTACTAATTGGATTGTGGGCATGGGCTGATTGATCAAGTATCGACTAGATTGGCTCTACCAATTGCAACACTGTTTGCTGCATTTCTAGAAAAAACGCACACGTCATTCCCATTCCGAATGATTCACAGCATTAGCGTACAGGTGATGTATACTTCATGTAGTGGACTTTGGTGTGATTTGGAATGTATCGAGCATACCCATAGGAGAGTCAATCAGAGTTGCTTAGAGACCATAATATTTTCACCCTCTCACTGCCACCCCTCCCCTTTTCTCGTCTCCTCATCTGTCCTCTCCTAGTAGCTGCTTTGCTCTACCACACTCTGGAATAGTCTTTTCCTTTTAGCAGAATATTCCTTTGTTCATTCCTAACAAATCCTTCTTATCCTGGCTTCTTCAAAATATCTTCTTCACCTCTGCATGTTTTTTATTTACTATTAGCATGTTTGCTCTTTTCCTGCGGTTTCTCCCTCTCCTCCTCTCTGCAGTGGTAAAGGGTCAGCTGCTGGAGATTGGGGGCATTGTGTCTCCAAAACCCATCTTATCTCTCGGTTTTACTAGAGTCTCTGAAAGACACTAATATAATACACAAACACACAATGTACTTTTGTTCATGCTTTCATTTAGTCACTATAAACACTAATGAAACTGACGTAAAATCCCATCCCAGTTATTGATTTGTTTTAGCAGAGCCACATTTAGAGGTATTTATCTAGCATTCAACATGAAATAAGCACTATAATGTTACTATCATGTTATGAGGTAATGTATTTGAATGTTTAGCGCAAAGGTATTTGATGACTGCCATGTTAAAAAATCTTTCCTGATGTGTTCTAACCACATTCGGGTGTTTCCTGACTTCAGGAATGGACTGTGGGCCATATGTTGTGTTTAGGATATGTAATATTATGATGGGAAAGGGAAGCCTCGCACCCCCCCGGGAACCTCTGAGTGACTTATGCGCTGTTGGCTGGGTTCTTCAGGACAAATCTGAGGATTTAGCATCCATATGCTCCTGCGTGAACAGCCTTCCAGGCAATTACCCACAAGCCCACAGCCTCAGTATAGTGAAGCACTACAGACTGCCTACACACCACCCGTCACACACTCTCACTTAAACCTCTACTTCTGACTGTGACACAGAACCTCCATGCCGAGGAACTGAGAGGTTTGTCGGCTGGCCAACCCTTTGTGTGTATGTATGTGTGTGTGTGTGTGAGAGAGAGATGGCAAAGAAGATAGTGAAGGACACAAAACGCAGAGATAGTTTGGTTAAATTTAGACCTCTACCAACCCAAAGCAGGTCACTTTATCTCTGCATGGGGAAAAAGTGGGACAGAGGCAGAATCAGTATAGGAACTCATCAGGGAGAGAAAGAGAGTGTGAAAAAAGTGAAAAAAGAAATACAGAGACATGGAAAAGCAGAAACAGCGAACAACAAAGAACCAAACATGTTCAGTTTTATGTTGTTTTAAAAGGAGTAGCCATAGTGAGGCAATGATGCTGTACTAGGCATGGGCCGGTGTAAGATTGTGACGGTATGATAACCTTGGATAAAAATATCATGGTTTCACAGTATTGTGATTGCTGCTCTAAAATATGTTCTATTTTTAAACGACTTTTCCCCCATTAAACACAATATATTTTATTTAAAGAAACATTTAGCCATAGAATATACAATAGAAATGGTATAACAGAAAACGATGGTGGTTTTAAAACCTTGACTTTTCCAAATCGGTTATCATGCCATGGCTATGTGGTCTATAGTTGGCTATATACATTTTTTTTAAATGTAATCTTACTACAGAAATGTTTAACACATCTTTAGAATTTTTCTTATTACCACTATATAAATGGTCTACCTCTGATCTTTCTGTAATGTTAATTTTCATTCTTCCACAGTATTGAAAAAAAAAGCATATCATTTAATTAAATATGGTTATGTCGTAAATATTTGACTGATTTTGTTCACTATATAACATTGGGTTTGTTTTTTGTTTGTGTGTGCAGAGGAGGGTGAATATTTCCTGAAGGTGTTGATCCCCAGCTATGCCGCTGGTTCGATCATCGGTAAGGGTGGGCAAACCATCGTCCAGCTTCAGAAAGAGACTGGAGCTACCATCAAACTGTCCAAATCTAAAGACTTCTACCCAGGTATGGAATCTAAATCTTCTGTCTGGCTTTAATAATGATGGACATCGTTAATTCAGAGTGTAAGCGATTTTGTTTATTCAAAATTAAATCCTTCTCTTTACTGTACCTTGACTATTCATTATTTAAGTTATTAGATCTGTGTTATGAATCCTCACAGTTAGATCGTTTTATTTACTGTGCAACAGATGGCAGTTAATGGTGCCATGCATAACTCATTCAGACTAAACACTAATGAAAAGCTTTTTTTTTTTTCTTCGTATCAGTAACTTTTTCTCACTGTATAGGTTAGGTTCATGCAGTTTTTGAGGTTATTCTGTGAAAATAAGTGATTAAATGTGAGCTTTTAAGTATTTTTTGGAGGATAAAATAGTTTTATGTGGATTAAAAAATGTTTTGGTCACGATGAAATTACTTAAGACTCTAGAAAATGAGTCTGTAAGTGTTGTGAGTGTTCAGAGCTGGTGGTATATTAATGCGTATATGGCTGTTTACAGATGTTGGCTTGTTTGTGTCATTGACTATAGTACCTTTTCCACTATGTGTCATTAAAAAGCTGCTTTATGTTGTAGTTTGAAAACTAAAATGGGCAGAAAATGACAGTGGAAAATGTGCCCATAGGGAGAGGAAATATGTGAGAGAGTGTGTGTGTGTGTCGCAGCTGTGAAGCGTACAGCTGAATATTGTGAACGTAATTTGTTTGTGAATAGCTATGTTTTCATTCATTAAACACACCCGTTACAACTAAAACTGTCCTGAGACGGCCTGTTCTGCTTTTCACTCTTCCACTAACACATTATCACTTGCGTTCTCACTCGTTTTTGCAGGTTTTATCCCACAAGTTTACCTTTTAGCACCATTTTTAACAGATTTCTAACCGTTTTTTTCTTCAGTGCGTTTATCATAGCAGAGTATCTTACAACCCAGATTGTGCACCATTCTAAATTGAACTACTTTAACTTCCATTTCATATCTTGGATTAGAAATTAAATACAAAGAATCTAAATAAAAAATCTGGGATAACTTACAATGGGTAGAAATGGATGGATGGTAGGGCTGGGCGATTTGGCCTAAAATGTAAATGTTGATTAGCTGAACATTTTGACTTGATCACAATTATTGAACAATTTATTTATTTATTTATTTGTTGTTGTTTTTTAGCCTTTATAGTTCTTAAACACGTTTTGTACAGTAAATATGCGCACCTTTTAAAAGTGAGAGATTTTTGAATGCAGCGTGCATTACTGGTTTTTAAAATAATTGAAGAAACCCACACTGTCTATTATCTTTGATTATTAAAAATCAATGTTGAGCAACTGAAATGTAAACACACATTACCCCAAACCAAATATCATTTTTTTCTTTTCTTTAAATAAATAACTTGCACTTTGAGACAAAAATTATTTTCAGTGTTTTTTATATTAAAAGTAGAAAATAAGCAATATCCTTTCTAAATAAAATAACGCTTGTATATTCTGTAAATAACATTTTAAACAGTGCATTTCTTGCATCTTCCGTAAACAAATATTTTGATGTAAATATTAATTTGAATATAATTGAAAATATGCCCTCTTAAGACATCTCTGACGCAGCTTCCAATCATCGTCAATGTAGAGCAAAGTACGGCTCAAGAATGGGTCCATCGTCCTACTTGACCAGAGATCAGATGTAGCTGCAGAAGTATAAAACAGAGCGGGGTCACAACTCCACTTGTGGACGGAAAAAATATTGGAAAAATTTGATAAATTATAGGTTCTGAATGTCGATTTTGATCACTTTTCAATAAATCGCCCAGCCCCAATGGATGGATGGATGAATAGATGAATGGATATAGTTATTCCAATTCAACTCTATGGGCTCTATTTTAATGGTCTAGGAACAAAGTCTAAAGTGTAAAGTGCAAAAGCATTAACGGGGTGTGTGAATCCACTTTTGCTGTTTTGAGGATAGGAAAATACGCTGTGCGCCACATGGTCTAACAGGGTTGAGCTTATTCTCTTAGGTATGTTTTGAGAATAAACCAATCAGAGTCTCATCTCCCATTCCCTTTAAGAGTCAGTTGCATCACTCCATGGCGCGTTTGCTATTTACATTGCAGACTTTGTAAGTAGAAAATCTGAACACTTCAAAACAGTTTAGAAAACAGTTAAACAGCATCTGCAGCAAGATTTCAGCCTTTACTTTCACTTTCTCTCTGTCGTGGATAAGGAAACGATGTTGTACGCTCTCCACTGAAGACATCCATTAGCCTACATAATTTATTTTGTTTGTTAAGTGCACAGATTTGTTTCAAAACTATTTCTAAATTCAGTTCTAATTTCCAGCAAACGAATAAATGAACAATATTAACGAAGAGTTACATCCAAAGCCACGTCCTATGCCCCATATGGTCTAAAACCTGACAGGTGGATAAATCTAAGCTTGTTTTTAATAAAACAAATAAAAATATGCATATAATAAATAATGCTAATGATAATAATAACATTATACAAAAGCAAGTTATTGTGAATAAACTGAAAAAAGCCCCCGAGGTGAGGAATGCATGGAGGTATAGTTTTTATATTTATATAAAATAATAATTTTTGTATCATTTAAATCCTTTAATTCTTTTTCATTTGTAAAGATATTTCTGTATTGCTGTGCAGGATGCGTGTTTAAGTGAGGCGCACTACTGACGTGCTATGTGCTGGACGTTAGACCTGCTTTCAGTAGGTCTTTTGCACAGTCTATTTTATTTCCTCAAAATAGCAACGCGCCAACAATGGGCCTTAACACACCTCTTTTCCAGACCAGAACACCCAGGAGTCTAAAAAGTGGCCCAAATGGATTTTCTATTTAAACAACGTGGCGAAAAACGAAAAAATTAGAGTTGCATTGGTCTGAAACTAGCAACACGTCGTGAAAAGTATTGCGCCGGGTGTATAATACGACCCTTTGTGCTTCATTGTTCTAGCTAACTGAAACCAATTTAAAGAGACAAGAACAGTAGTCCTCAAGTCTTCATTTACTTCACTACACAGTTACCCCTCACTTGTTCAGAACCTTTATGAGTTTGCTTTTTCAAAAAGATTTGAAAACAAAAGATTAGGTTTTTGAAAATGTTGGTAGCTGGCACACATTGACTTCCATAGCCGTTCTGTGGAAGTCGATGGGTGCACTGTAAAAATCCTGGTTGCTTAAAATTTTTAAGCTAAATCAAAATTAACCTTATGAGTCCATTGAACTTATATTATGTTAAACTGACTTAAATCAGCTTGCTTAACTGATAAAATTAAGTTTGAACATGATTAACTTAGTTTAATAAGTTACAATGAACTAAAAACATTTGCTGTCAAGACTAACTGATCATATATTTTTTTACAGTCTGCTAGCAACCAGCATTCTTCAAAATATCCTCTTTTTTTGTCCAACATACAAAACAAACCCCATAAAGGTTTAAAACCACACAAGGGAAAATAAACCATGAGGTAATTTTAGGTGAACTATCGCTTTAATTCTCATTCGGCTCAGCATTTTACCAAACCATGAGTACAACAAGCAGTGCTGCTTTGGCACAAACAAAAGCATATCCTCAATCATTTTGGTCTCTGATATAATCGCAGCTTCTCCTCCAGACCTCATTTATCTTATGAGACGTTGAAAGGGAAACATTTAAACTCTCTCTGGCTCGCAATAGAGCTATAAAAAGAATTCACCTACAGCTGAGCGCTTTTACTCCAGCCAGCATGTCTTACCACACACACACACACCTTAGTCTGCCATAATAATTTCCTAAAACTTATTTAACCACAGACTCTTACCACAAACCACACATTTATGAGAGAACGACTAAAATGAACACTACACACACTACTAGAGCTCTTGAAGAGCAAATGCTGAAACTGCGGGAGAATTTCTGACCAGTGTGTGTGAGTGTGTGCGTGTGTGTGTGTGTATGTGTGTTTTGAAGTTCAGACACAAACAAGTGATAGTCTAGTGGCAAAAAATAAAACATCACAGCTGAGGAACAAACACTTGGTCAAGTATGCATGTGTGCTAGAGTGCGCGCATACACACACTCAAACACGCACACACTGATATATCTCTGCACTGTTGCCCGGAAACAAACACACACTACCAACAACCAACATGCCCCCGCTTCCCACATCTCCCTCCAAATGAAACAGAAGATGATCATGACAGTAAATTTAGGACACTGAATGATATTTTCCAACACAAGACTTTGTGTATTCAGGCTGACACAATATGGAGAGGATTGTGTAACTAACTCATTGTAGAGTTTATCTGTCTGCTTGTGTTTAACTGGGTCCTGCTTGAACTCTTATACAGTTACAGCAGTATTCTAGACAGGTTGTGCACTTCAGGACAGTTGAAGGCCAGTGGATAGTTGATTGTGTGTGTATGTCTTGAACATTTGTGAGTGGGTCCCACAGGAGTAATGTGGCTAGAGAAAGGTTCAAAATGTATTGCATTCAAAATGAATTACATCATCCAGCCAAAAGTTCATCTGCCTTTTCCCCCTGTGTTACAGCAACCTTCTTCATTCTTTCTGTTAGATGCATGTTTACTGAAAGCAGAAATTGCTTCTTTGAAAATAAATGCAAAATGTGTTTTCATGACCTTAAGAAATATAGTAAGTTCAAACAAAAGAGCATGGTGCTCGCAACTTCAAGGTCATTAGTTAGGCTTCCAGGAAATTCATGAACTGATAAAATGTATATGCTTTAAAGGGACAGTTGATCAAAAACTGAAAATTCTGTTATTATTTTTATTTATTTATCACCTCTTTGAGTTTTTGTTTAAGTGTTGATCACAAAAGAGGATCATTTGAAAATGTTGCAATGAATGTTGTCAGTATATTGACTTCAATATATTTAGTTTTTCTACTATGGTTACCAGTATCTTCTTTAGTGTTCAACAGAAAATGAAAACTCTTAAAGATTTGTAACCACATTTTGTGGTGAACTATACTTTAAAGGCAGCACAAATATGAAAAAAGCCAAATACAAACAATGTAAATACAAACAGTGTGTCTAGATAAATATATATTTATTCATGTTAGTCTAATTAAATATGTATTTAATTTATATTAATACTAATTTATGTTAATCTTGACTAATTTGTTTTAGTAATGAATTGATTTATTGTGTGTTCATATTAAATATATGTACAATACCTTTTGAATTCTGGTGTCATTACAATTTTTAAACAATAATACTTTATTATTAATATTATTATTATTACATTATATATTTGTTATTATATATTACTGAATCAATTTTTAAATATAATATTTGAATACTTTTAATTAGTGCTTTATAATAAGAGACAATAAAGTCATTGATTGTTCCAAAACATGTTTTTCAAGTAAATGATGTTCTTTTGAAGTACTCAAAGAAATCTGAAAAGCATTTTCATATCAAGATTTTCATGAAATATATTAAACAGAAATACTTTTTTACACAAAAGAATAATTAAAAATGTTTCTTGAGCACCAAAACAACATATTTACATTGTTTATGAAAAACCTTGGGCTCTGAATATTACAACAATGACTGTTCAAAATCCTTTGCCATCTTATGAGTTAAAATAAATAAATTAATATTTAAAATCATATTTAAAAAATTCAATTGTAATAATATTTCTCAATATAACTGCTGCACTTTATTTAAATAAAATGATGCAGTAATGCAGCCTTGGTGAGCAAAAAAATGTCATGTGCAATTGTTTTAGGTAATGGTACTGTACATATTACATATATTTATTTATAATAGAATTTTATACTTACATATATTGTCTAAATGCTAACATTGTGTCTTTATATGTGTGTTTGTTCAGGTACAACAGAGCGTGTTTGTTTGATTCAGGGTACGGTGGAAGCTCTGAATGGAGTACATAACTTCATCGCTGAAAAAGTTCGTGAGATGCCTCAAAGCAGTCAGAAGACTGAACCAGTCAGCATTCTCCAGCCACAGACTACCGTTAACCCTGACCGTATCAAACAGGTTAGTTTATGGGCTTGCTGAACTACTACACCACAAACCGAACTACAGTTATCTAGTTATTAAATGTGCGATGAACTGTGAAACATATCTGACTTTGCAGATTTAGAATTAAACAGGCAATAAGTTATTCTCCTGAACCACAGCTCAGTTCATATTATTTGTAATATTCTGGTAAGTTTGCTTATCAGATGACAACACGGACAGTGAGTGCGTTTATATATGCAGTTATAATTGAGTTCTGCATAATCAATCTACGCTGTTCATCAGTACAATTATTTCTGTATTGTTACTGAAATCAATTTCTGAAGTGCATGTAAATGTACTTACTGTCAGCTATCTGACAGTGATAAGCAACACAGAAGACAAGGAAAATAAACTAGCCCCAAGGAGGCAGAGGGCAAGGTAGACTGGTGGTTGTTCCCCAGGGAAAGAGTGGCTGAGAGGGGCAGCAAAGTGTGAGAGCAGCGGGTTATTTTTACCTGCTTGATCCTTGCAGAATGAGAAACAGAGAGGGAGTGAGAGAGAGCAGCTGCAATGTAAGACCGGGGATCAACAAATGGCTGATATAAGCACTGACTTAAGAGTCAGACCTTACTCAGTCGCACACATACCATTTTACCCTCTTAAACATACAAGCATACAGTTACATTCTGTAAATGTGGTTCTCTTTAAAGATATAGCAAACTTGTTTTACTGTTCAAGTAAGGGCAGAAGACAAACATCTACATAACCACCACAGACACATTTGAGCTTATTGCAGAATCTATTTTTGGGGTTGTGTGCAGTATCATACATGTAATTCTGTTCCTCAATCAAAATGACACTCCCCCCTCCTCCACAGGCTAAATTGATCGTGCCCAACAGCACAGCAGGACTCATCATCGGTAAGGGTGGGGCAACAGTTAAGGCTGTGATGGAGCAGTCAGGAGCCTGGGTACAGCTTTCTCAGAAGCCTGAGGGCATCAATCTGCAGGAGCGCGTTGTGACCGTGAGCGGGGAGCCAGAGCAGAACCGCAAGGCCGTGGAGATCATTGTTCAGAAGATCCAGGAGGACCCACAAAGCAGCAGCTGTCTAAATATCAGTTACTCCAACATCACCGGCCCTGTGGCCAACTCCAACCCAACTGGATCCCCGTTTGCCAATTCTACAGAGGTGTTGCCCAATGCCGCCGCAGCGGCTACAGCCTCCACGCTACTTGGCCAAGCGGGTCTCGCAGGCATGGGTGGTTTTCCTGCGGCCATGTCAAGTCTTTCTGGTAATGATCTGCTTGCCATTACGTCTGCCCTGAACACTCTGGCCAGTTACGGCTACAATACCAATACACTGGGTCTTGGCCTCAACCCGGCTGCTGCCTCTGGAGTGCTCGCTGCTGTTGCGGCTAGTGCTAATCCAGCAGCGGCTGCTGCCGCCAATTTGCTTGCTACATATGCCAGCGAGGCCTCTGGAGGGGGTGGTCACCCTGCTGCCCCTAGTTTAGGGGGATTCTCACTGGGCTCTCTTGCAGCCGCCACAGGGGCATCTAATGGGTACCTGAATCCCTCATCCCCACTAGTGGCATCATCTCTGCTGGGTACAGAAAAGCTGGCAGAAGGTGGAAAGGAAGTGGTGGAGATTGCTGTGCCAGAGAACTTGGTCGGTGCCATCTTGGGAAAAGGTGGTAAGACTCTGGTGGAGTATCAGGAGCTGACAGGGGCGCGAATTCAAATCTCCAAAAAGGGAGAGTTCATTCCAGGCACGCGCAATCGCAAGGTGACCATTACAGGGTCACCGGCGGCAACACAGGCAGCCCAGTACCTTATCAGCCAGCGAATCACGTACGAGCAAGGCGTCCGTGCCACCAACCCTCAAAAAGTGGGCTAGTGATGGACAGGAGTGGGGAGGGGAATGAAGAAAGCGGAGGAAACCAGAGAGAATGAATAGATGACTAAATGAATGAAATCGAGGGAGAACGGGATGGGTTGGAGCGAGAAATATGTCCAAATATTTAAACACAAAATAAAAAGAATGAACTGTGGATAGATAATCTGTTTGGGGAGAAATGTGATATTTTGTGACTGAAATTCTGCCGTATTTTTAAAGTTGTGTTACGTTGTGTAGGTCAGAGTATCGTGTCCTGGGGCACTCAGTGGAGAAGGAGCTCAAATCTCACTTCCTCTCTCTTGGCCAAGGCCTTTTGGATTCTATGTTCTGATTTTGGCTTCCACTGCAAACTCTCATAGTTTAGTTCATACTGATCCACACACCCTGAGCAAGGAGACCGGAGCGTGAAGGTTTCCCTCTTAATATCAGCAACCGTAGTGTAGGTATAAAATGAACAAGAAGATAACTTTTGAAACATTTCCATAAGTACTCTTGGTTTCCCCCTTTATTGTTTTCAATTGAGACATGATCAGAAAACACCTGCTAAAAGCTATCAATTTGCATTGCATTACTAATATCTCTCTGAATATTCTCCATTACAGTCAGTTCACAATCAAGTCTCTTTTAGATTTATCGAAACCTGTGATTCCAGGTTGACCTGAATGTATAAAGACTTCCTGATATTGTTGGGGTTTTTTATATATGTAAATAGAGTATCAAATTGAGATGCTGTCACGATAGATACCCAACCTTCAGCGACAGACAGACAGACGGAGATAAGACATCACAGGTCAAAGGTCAGATACGCAGCATTAGGAACAGGAATGTAACATACATACAAGTGCAGTTTAGTCACAGGATCCCACTTTGGTGCTATAAGAAAATGCGTACGAAGAGATTTTGTTGTCATATCTACTGATTTTAGTATTTATGGGAGAGTTTCTCTGAGCCTTCATGAATTATCGGGGGGCATTTTGCGATATAACTCATGAGACTGAGAGCGAGTGAATATTCAAAAGATCCCACCAGAGCAGAGACACAACAGTAGGATCTTAAAAGCTGTCCGTCTCACTGACTTTTAACTCTTACTACAGAAAACTTTTGGACACACTACCAAGGAATTGAAGTCCTTAGAATCCTGAACTTGAAAAATAATTGGACCTGTTTAGACAGATGTACCTCTTAACTCCTCCTCTTCCTCTGATTGGAGGAGTCAGGCAATGTCTGTGCCTGTTTCATTTGAAAGGAGCTCAGGTTGTCATACCTCATGTTTGCGAAGGAGGAGAAAGATTTCCTGTTTGTATGCAGTGCAGCAAAGTCTTGGGTGCATTACAGATGCCACCTCGTTCACGTCGCAGTTAATCCCTGTTTGCGTTAGGCAGGCAGCAGAGGTGCAGTTGAGGTAGTGAACGAGAGACTAAAATGACACAGCTTTTGTAACCTGTCTGAACTGATTTGAAGGTCGGAGGATGCTACTGTAACGACTGTCGACCTTCAGCCTTCTCCTGTACAGCGGCGTCACTGCGAGGCAAACTCTTGCAGGCTAACTGATCGTAATTCTGCTTCCTTTAAGAAACCAAACTGCAGGCCGTAGCGTCAGACGCACAGTTCTGTTTGCCCAATGTTTCTAAAGCATTGCAGGAGAGTTTTACATGCCCTCCACCTTTTTCCACTGATCAACAGGTCATCGGTTGCACAGAGCGGTGGTGATAGTTCCTCATTAGTTAATTCCACAGTTGTACACTGCATCAAAATGTTTGCTGCTAACAGCATTTTCGGTCTTGCCAGCAATTGGCTCTTGCATGGAGAGTGAGCAGGAGCTCCTGTACAGGGCGAGCAATCGTCTCTGAACCACACTGTGAATCCAGCGGCCTGACACCATCGCAACTATGGAATGTAATGTACATATTTCACACCATTGAGAGTGAGACACGGCGTGACGGAATAAAGCAATGAAACCGAGCGAGCACAAGAACGCGGGCCACGAGGCTCCGCTGTAGGAACGTCTACCTGTAGTTTACCTTGCTCTTTCGCAAATCCGGAGGCTGCCGAGGGTCAGATTCCCCCCACGGCAGCCAGGCCTGTCATTAATTAGCAGATCTCCATTTGAACCCTGGACTTCTAAATATAACAACACTGCACAGCCCAATCTACTGCTGACCTACATACACACTCTAAAAGACATTCATCATCTCCCTCCAACTTCCAGCCCTCTAATCTACTCGCTAGAGGGGAAGCGGAAACGTAGAAAAAGGAGGGAAGGGAGAGAAAGGGAGAGACATGGAGAGAGAGAGAGGGCGAGAGAGTAACCTATTTATATCCATTGCATAATTGTGAGGAGTATTAACATTTCAACATCTCTCATGATTGCTGTTTAAATAACCTTCAAAGTTTAACATGCCATTCACTCAGTTAATGTACTCCCGAGCTATGTACTGTATTTCGGTACCACCCGTAAGATATCAGGTTCTCCACGTATAAATCGTTGCTCAATAATGGTTGGAGATCAATTTGTGTACCTGATTTCAGAAGCACAAGCACTTGGTGCAGCAATATGAGGGTAATATGATTACAGACAAGGGAGATTCATTTATACATTTGTAGAAAAGCGGTTGGAATTTGTTGACAGTCGTGGCATTAGGGTTAATCCTGTCTCTCACTCTCTACGTGTCCTCCCTCTGTCTTTGCACTACCTCTTTTTCTTCCGTCATGTCTTGCTCTCTCACTACTTTTCATGCTTTGTTGTCTCTCCTTTCCCCTTTCGCTTTCTTCCCCTCCAGGCTACCGCCACGGATGTGTTGTTTGTGTGTGTGTGTTTTTCACAGAGGGTGTGTGTATCTCCACATGGGCCGATGGGTATTGAGCCCTGTCGTGCACACAGTACCTCTGGACTAATACGCCACATAGTCTAACATTAATACATGTGATTAGATTCTCGTGCTCTCTTCCTGATTGATTCAGTATTCTACCTTAAACTAGCTAGAAAAGGGAATCTGTGCTCTGAGAGAACGCGGAGGTGTGTAAACCAGAGCAAAGAACTCTGGGTGGAAAAAAAAACAAGGAAAAAAAACAATACCTAAGGGAGATGGATGCGATAGCCACCTCAAACTCAAACGATGACCATCGTTTGTGCTCTGTGTTCTCTCTCCTCTCTCTGAGAACTATAAGATCATCTCTGCATTTTTCCTTCATTTTTAAAAAAAATGAAACTGTGGAATCCGTCGCGTCTCATGTTCTTTGTGTATTTTGGTGTAGTTCCTCTAGTTTGTGGTCTAAATGCAGTCTTGCGCTGTTGGTTTCAGTGTGTGATTATCCGTTATACTCGTGTGGATGATGAAAGTGCCAATCAAGCCTGGTTAAGATTAGCTTTGCGATTTGTTTGTGCATTAGAGTTGCTCTCTTTGGAGTGCTGGTGTCCATATCTACGTCACTGATAATTTTAGATCGACTTAAAATGTAAAGAACTATTGGAAGCAATATTGTAGCATGTTGTCAAGTTTTGTGTTTTGTTATGTCTGTTGTATGAGCCTTTGGATTTACTACAAATTTTGAATGAATAGGTTTACATGTACTTTTTTGTAATACTGTAAGTTTAAAAAAATGAAAAAATGCTGCTATTTGATAAGTGAAATATACAGAAATATTTTAGTTGAGACGAAAAAACGGAAAAAAAAAAAAGAGTCTGGTCTGTTGATTAGGATTGTGCTCGTTTTTCGACAGGGGTATAAACGAGGTGTATCAATATTAATGACATAGACGCAGTAATAATAGTCAACCTGTGCCAAACTAGACCTTCACAGCTTCTCAACATGTAGGTGTGTGATGAAACATTAGGTATCGATAACTTATTTAGAAGCATTGAACAAGTGCCAATCAATCAATATATTTTAGTTCCGACGAAAAGATAATCAGCGAAGGAACAAAAACGGCATAGCGCAATGTTAGCATTGTTTTGACCCCATAGCTGCATAGACAACGAGAATACTTGTTTTATGCATCCATATGGTTTTAATACACTCAGTAGAGGCATCCTGTGCATTCGTTTGACCTGTGGCTTCCGCACTGCTTTTAAGTCATATTGTCTCTGTAGGTCGGCATGGAGTAGGCATACACGTTATACGCATTCATAACACAGCCGTTTATCAAAGTGTGTTTTGTGGATTTAGGTGTTATCTTTTTGCACGTCTCTATTGCATGATATCCAAGTGAATTATTGAGGGGTGGGAAATCAAAACAGACAAACATTTCTAAAAAAAAATACAAAGAAGCGTCTTGTGTCGCTCTGGGACACACTTCTGCATGTGTCGCAGACGGAGCGCTCTTTCTTTCCTTCACTTCATTTGTGTTTCTCTGGTTTTGTGTTTTTCTCGGTCAGATGGGTGTGGTCTTTTAAAGGCCAGTATACATAGGCCTAAGAACTGCAGCGTAACCATGGGAACTGGAGTCAATCAGGAATTCATAAAAGCGAGCAGATTCCAGTTTACGACGGCAAATCGTGTGCATACGTACATGACAGACTCCATCTCTCGGCCTCTAATTTCAGGGGAAAACACCCATGCATGGAAAATGTCATTTAAGTTCCGTTTTTTTGGGCTACGGTCGTGTTTATCCATACATCGGTTTCAGACTTCTCTAGTTTCTCAGCTTGATTCTCCTAACCCCACATGTAATTTATGAATGTATTTACATTTGCATAAACTGAAACAAAATGTTATTTCAATGTTAAATGTCTTTTAGGTGTGATGTTTACGGCGGAGGTTGTAAAGTTCATGTAGCTCGATCATATCTGTCAGTGTTAGGAAGGCCCAGAGCCACATTAGCACCCAAATTCATTTCTCTCTCTCTTCCTGTCTGCTGATGCATCAAATGCACTTTACTGAGCATTAGGTCCCATCACAAACACACACAATGTAACCTTCTACTGGATGCAAAACTGAACCAAGCAACCTGTTTTTAACATGGAAAACTTTGACAGATATATTGTTGTTTTTTCCTGTTGTTGTGTTTTTATTCTTTTCCTCCTTTGGTGTTTGTAAATGAGTTGTAATTTTTTAAAAGTGTCTTTATTTTTGTATTTCTGTTCAGTTCGGGGAGGAGAGGTCAGAAGGAGAGTGTGTGTGTGAGATATCTGTCCTGCATTCCACCATCTCTCCTACTACATTCCCTTCAGTGTCTGTCTGTGTGTGTGTGTGTGTGTGTGTGTGTGTGTGTGTGTGTGTGTGTGTGTGTGTGTGTGAGTGAGTGTTTGTCTGTGTGTGAGTGAGTGCGAGTGACAGCGTTTGCACGAATGTGTGTTTGTGAGTGTCTACATGCAGACACTCTTGTTACCATTGTAATTGCCAACTGTGTGAAGCTAAACTGCTTTGAAAGTGAAAGGTGTTATTTTTGATTTTCAAAACTGTACGTTTTGTTCAGTTTAGAGGAATGGAAAATAAATTGCAGAAACCTCTGAAAAGTTTGTGTTTTTTCGATTAATTGAAACAGATTTAATGATGTTTTCACAGATACAATAATCCCTTCACCAATTTTAGGTATTAAAATTAATACTCAAGTCATTTATACTAAACAAAGAACAATTTATAATAGGGATGCTCCGATCAATCGACCGATAATCACATTTAATGACTCGATTGGTACTCGCCAATCTGGGGTGCGTTTCCCAAACAATGTCATAACCCGCAGCTGAACTATCATAGTATAATGCATCATTTGGGAAAAGAACGATGTAGTGACGAGTGTTTCCCAAAACCTGTAGTTTCTCTGTCACAGATCTGTCATTTGAACCACGTTAGTTATAATGTAAAAATGCCCATAATGATGCTCTAAACAGGGTGGAGTAACAACTACTACAGAGAAAAACCCCATACATTTTTTTTGTGCAAATTATATTGTTTTACACGCACATGCTTTTAAAAAAAAATCTATATTAGTTTTGGCAAATATGGGCCTATATGTTTCTCTTACAAATATTATAGAGAACATTACATATTCTATTCTAAAACAGAAAATCCCCTACAAAAGCTAATATAATAATATCATATATAAATGAAATAAATAAATAATGAGGCTACTTATAAAGAAATGAAATTTTATATTTATTAGAAAATGAAAAAAATATTTAATAATAATAGTAACTTTAATAATAATCATGATGATGATTAAGTAGGATATTGTTTATTTATTTATTTTTTTGTCTACTTTTACAATTTGACACATTCAGGCCACTGCAGAAATGTTCCAAGCAACAGTCTCATGACATAAACAGTACAGATACTTAATAAATATTCTACTATAAATTAAAAGCATTAACGTATGCTATGTTTTTTGGGTGACGTCACAAATTTCACTTTTAAATAATAGTTCACCCTTAGCTTTCGTCATGAGCCACGGCTGCATTCAAAATGTCATAAATGTTTTCAAAGTGCACTGTGAAGGGAGCGCAATTGTAAACATGAAAATCGCTACTGAACTGTAAAAATTCTTTAAACACAAATTACACCTAAGAGATGACTAATTATTTTTTTTATATATATAGTTCCTTGTTTAAATGATGTAATGTGAAAAATGAATAGGGCATAGGGGGATAACTGGGTATAAAACACAGCCAGAAACTATGTTTCTAACTACAGTTACAGAGGTGTAGTTGCAAGCGTACAAATTTGCGACGCAGTTTGTGAATGTTCATTGGAATGATGGATTTGGGAAATGCCAAATCAACAGACTATGTTTGTAACAACGGAACTTGCGACCTCAGTTGGTTAACAATGGTTTTCGGAAATACACCCCTGGCCGATCTTATGAACCGATCACAGGTGTTTGTTTATGAGTTTACAAGCAGAGCAGAGTCGCACCTGGGTTATACATACAGCATACAACACGTGACTAGCAATCGCTCGTCTAGTGTCCCATTCATCCCAACATCCTTCATTTATACTCTTAGCTAAGGGGAGATCTCCACTTATGTATCATATTTAGAGGGAAAATGTGTTTTAAGCATTATAAAGCTTGAAGCTTCAGAATCGGTACTCGACAGCAAAAATTCTGATCGGAGCATCCCTAATTTATAGGTGACAATTAAGCAGCATATATGTATTTCTTTACACATGTTTCACACATTACTTATTGTGTAAATATATAGACGTTGTTATATGATTTATTTAACCCCTTTTGTAATATTTTCTTTTCTACTTTAAATTTATTTCATACATATATGTAATACTACAGTAATATCCAACAAGGAAAGTAAGACTGTAGATTTCTGACATGTGGAAACGAGCCTTCTGTCCCCATTGGAGAAAAGAAAAATATGAAAAAAGGCAACAGCGCAAACAGGTTTATGTAGTTTGGTTAGTATACTCTCAACAATTAGCACAAAACTAATATATATATGGGATGCCAAGGTTCTCAATATAATATTGAACCGTACGGTACGACCTCCACGGTTCAATACGCGCTTGTGAATTGTGGTTTTCTGCGTTTTGCGTTTAAATAATTTATGTGTGATTTATATCTCCCCGAATTGACTGTCTGTGTGTGTAAGTCCATGATCTGAGATGAGGAAACTCCTTCCCTAGAGTAAATATCCAATCACTGTGCTCTAAAGTTAGGGGGCGCTTGACCATCATTCCACACCTTAACATTGCGAGCGGCGGTGAAGTGAGGCTGAGGCAACAGTACCAGGAAGCGCTGGCAAAGTGAGGCAACAGTACGAGAAAGCGCTGGCGTCCTTCAAAACTGCGGTGTGAGGTCATTTCGGTTTTGCCGGTAAGCATAATGCCAATGAAAGAAAAACGGTCAACAAAAAATAATTGTGTGCAAGCATTGTTTTACACGTATAACCATGACTGCACATCTGTAGCGCCATCACCAAGCAATATCACTGTCTGAAGGCAGGATAGCAGAGAAGGTAATAAAGTCCTCCAAATAGCAACAATCCCTCACTGAATCTACCCAACTAGTTCCAAGAGACACCTAAAAATAACAAAGGCAGTGCGGGTGTTTATTTATTGCTAAAGATTTTCTGTGATTGGAGATGTGGGCTATTGTCATTTTATAAAAAGCACTCGATCCGTGTTACAGACTACAGTCTCGCATTTTTTCAGCACTGAAATAATTAGGATGGTTTATTTATGTTTACTTAAGTACAAATATGTTTATTTGAAAAGGCCAGTTTATCTTTATTAACTTCATATGTATGTTTATTTTCAAAGTGTAGGATTTTATGTGTTCCCCAGTTTGTACATGGGCTACCAGGAGCTGAGATTTCAGTGTTCATTTTTTTATACAATACACTAGGAACTAATGTACTTTTCTTGGCTTTTAAGTAAAACAAAATGAGTATTGCAATAAATAATTTTTTTTCTCGTTTACCTCTTACTGCTTCTATTGCCTATAGAATAAAAAAAAACATGTGTCAAGCCATGAGAACCGAACCGAAAACAGTGTTAAAAAATCGAGATATGTATTGAACCGTGAGCTAACTGTATTGTTGCATCCCTAATATATATATATATATATATATATATATATATATATATTTGCATGCATTTCTCTTTCATTCAATAATTTTATTTTCTCAATACATAGATTTTTTTGCATCAATAATTCATATTATTGCATTCATACAATATATTAACAAACTATTTATCCATCTATCCAACCAAATTTCACAAAGAATACTGGATGTGCAACATAAACTGATTTTGAAGCCCTCTTTCTTCTCTATCTCTCTCTTACACACACACACACAGCTGGTAATGCTGTGTGGAAGCGACACGGTCCTGCAGTGCTGCAGTTTGACGGCGTGGTTGAAGTGTCATTATGATGAATGGCAAGATCAGTATGAATCATAACGCCTGCTTGTGATGCTGTTAGGTCACTGAAAGCCAAAATTTGTGTGTGTGTGTGTGTTTGAGATTCATAAGCAGTAAGAAATGCATAAATAACCTGTATGTAATGAACTGGCACAAATTAAAACTATGAAAACAACTGTTTAGCTGTAAACCTGAGTTTATTATGTGTGTGTATATATATATATATATATATATATATATATATATATATATATATATATATATATATATATATATATATATGCATCTTTGTTACTGCTGAGCTGAAGTGGCTACCTGGTTGCCTTGGAAACCTCTTGCAGCCATTCCTCAATTGTCCTGTTCCTGCTCTAACAAACCATCTTCCAGTGCACGCACACGCACACACACACACACATACATCTAATGAATGCCAAACTTAACTCTTTCTAGAGCTTCTCTTTGTTCTTAGAAACAACAAACTTCTGTGCTGGGAATGACTAACATATTTGACGATGATGTTGAAAAAAGATTAAGGTTTGTAAAGGGATTTACTAGGATAGGTAATGTTCTGTTAACAGAAAACAGTAAATTGTCTCCCTTTTTTAAATTATTGTGTGTTTATGTGAATAAGAAAATGTTAATCATTATAAATAATATATATATATATATATATATATATATATATATATATATATATATATATATATATATATATATATATATAAAATGGTGAACATTTTTTTCTCTATTAGCACAGATCTTAATGCAATATGTATCCACGAGGTAAGAAATTTAAGGTGATCATCACTTCTTGACCGCCTCAGCAGTTGCCATGGCAATGAGATCGCTGTAAATTGCATTCTCTATGGATGTTCATACGTGGTTTGTTTCCCTGATTATGCCTGTAAACAAAAAAATCACAGGATTGCATCCCAGAATACCATCCTAGATCTCTGTGCTTAGGCTAAACCTTTGTTATGTCAAAAATGTATGATATAGCCAACACATTTGTTGCTACATTGAATACAGGCGTCATGTACATACGGATTGTTTTGATAGTGTATTCTGCAGTGCTGGGAAGCTATTTTAAAACTAAAGAAAATTCATAATAGCTAAACTTCATTCAAGTTATTGTTTTGAAAAAGGAGTGAGCTACAGCAAAACGTAATAAATACATTCATAGTGAAATAAATTATTTTATGCAATGATTTATTTATGCTACAACAAAATAATTAATAATTTAAATATACTGTAAACAAACTGAATAAGAGAGAAAAAACAGAATAGATGTCAGCTTTTTGAAAAAGTACATTATATTGTATAACTGCAGATCAACTATCTATAAACTTGACAGCTGTACTGCCCATCCTATTCACACCTTAACCTTTTATCAATATAACTGAAATGTAATAATGTGCACCTTCTTTAAAGTTAGAACATTATTGTGGGACAAATTAACCTGAATTAAAACATAGTGTTATAACAAAATAAATACTCCAAAAACAACCTAATATACTTAATAACTGAGGTGAATATAGTACACAGCACAGTGAATCAGTGCACTGATTTTATTGCCTAACATTTAGGCCTTTTGATTGCATGGAGAGGTCTGTTAAAAAGCACCTATTTACCCCTTTTCAAG